CAGCAGGATGTTGGCGGCCAGATTGCGACAGCCAGCCGGATAAAGTTAGCCTGATGGCGATGGCCAGATAGTGGCTGTCTGATTACGGTGGCCGGATGGCGGTGGCTGGATGGCGGTGGCCTGATAACGGTGGCCTGCGGGCGACCAACGATGATCATCTTCCTGCAGTGACGCAAACCTCGTGCTTCGCATGTCACGTCCACTACCGTCTCTACCATTTTTCCACCGAACGTCTGCCCAGAGGCATCGCTACACACCGACTCTCTTGAACTCTCTATCCTTCTCACCATCCACCCACCCTAGTAGCACACTTGTCACAAACCGATTGAGGTAACTGCTCACTTTAGTCACAATCAAGTTGCAGCAACTTTGTGTGACAGATGTGTGTTACTTGGGCATAGTACCACTCACACCACTCAGCTCTCTCGTTCGCTACCACAATTCCGTTCCAATTACTGCAGCCGATTTCACTCGTCACCCACAATCGCTACCGTTCGCAATTCAAATTGGAAGTTTGTTGAAAAAATGGTGCCCTACGTTCCCATATAAAATAAGAATATAAAATGTTACCATACAGGATGGTAACACGTTTCACCTTGCTTTGATCCAGAGTTAACTTAGCACCCATCCACAATGCTTTATTCGGAAAGAATTCCGTCATCTTGATCGGTCAAATTATTCGTTACAGTTTGGCTGCGTTCATAATCCAGTACCGATCAGAAATTGCCCTTTGAAAACGTCGCTCATGCTAAAAAACCTTAGTCGGGCAAACTAAAAAGAAACCACCAGTGGTCTCTCTAATCCGAGAGTGGCGCATAAGCCACTGTGTTTGCAACGTCTCACTTAGAGCATTCGACGGACGGTTACAAGGTCGCCGCTGTGATTGAATCCTAATAACAACACGTTGAACGGAAACCTCATTATTGTTTAGTGAAATAAGGAACTCGGTGGCCTAGTGGCGACCGATTTTGCTGACTGAGCAGAAGACCGTGGGTTCAAACCCAAGCTCCTTCAAGATAGTGAATCGTTAGGACATCAATTCAGCACATCGTTTACCAAAACGAATCCTACTGCAATCACAACCCTTTTATCCAAAATCCCAGTGATTTCTCGTGGAAGTGCAGAGGTGTTCTCGGCTTTCATTGAAGCGAGTATTAAGTCAATTTATTCCTCCCCATTCCTTTCTTGACCAGCATTCGGACGTGGTTGGCGCTGGTTTTGAATAGTACTAGTATTTACACATTGAGGAAGAATGCTAGTCCCAAGCAGCGTCTATTGGTTCTCTGTGTAATTACAGTTGATCTGGCAATAACAGAGTTGCATTCTCAGTTGGTCAATCAGTTTCATTTCCTAAAGGGAAATGGATGTAATGTCGGCCTAAATGCCCCTAATTTGGGCCCATACATAAATTCAGCAATCGACTAAATTTTCAACAGCGACCAAAAAAACCATATCTACCGTCCCAATGACGAGCGTTCATCTAGATAAAATTGATAAATAGCAGATTTTTAGCGATGGGCCCAATCTTAGATCTATAGGCCAACATTAGAGCCATTTTCTCTACTATTACTTATCTTCACTCCTGATTAATAATGGTGAGATGCAGGCATACCAATAAAGGAGCTGGAATAATAAATTGAATAATTTCCATACCACCTTAACGTAATCAATCATTTCATTGCATTTGAAAACGGCGCCGGTGGTGTAGTGGTAAGCGTGATTACCTCTCACCCCAGCAGGCCTGGGTTCAATCCCAGTCGGCGCCGCCGGGATGTTCTAAGGCATAACATCTGTGATCACGCCTTCCTTCGGATGGGAAGTAAAGCCGTTGGTCCCTGGTTCATGAGTTGATGGGTCGATAGGTAGAGTCCAGGTGTGGGAGCTGCCTTCCTGGCACGTCGGTAGCATTGGTGCTCAGCACGGAAAACAAGATCGACGGAAAAAACAAAACAAAGGAAAAAAAAAAAAATTGCATTTGAAGGCACTCATAAACTGTTTCTTTGCGTCAAGATTGTCTATTAAACACATATTTTTATTTCTTTAAAATTGTTAATTAAAACTATATTTAATTTAAGATGTTATGCCTCAGAGCATCCCAGTGGCGCCAACTGGGATTGAACCCAGGCCTGCTGGAGTGAGAGATAAGAATCTAAACGTTTTTTTTTTTAAATCGCTGGTAAAAAAGGTCGTCTCAAAACTGCTCGAAAATATAATAAATTAATTTGGTAATTTTTAAATCTGATTTTGAACGGAAATATTTCTTTCTGGTATAACTTGCTAGTACACTACAGCAGCGTTGCCAGAATGTTTAAAAGCTTATAGGTATCAAAGGTTTTAAAAATCGGTATTTATCGGTATCTTCTATTTTATTTTTTTTATTTTGCCGTTTTTGAAAGCGAAAATTTTAACTTTTGGACTATGATCGGAAAATTTCGGAAGAAAACTCCGGGGAATGCTTGAATTAGCTTCTGGAGGAAGCTGAAAACAATATCCAGACAAAGAAGAAAGAAGCTCTCCTGGAGGAAATTTGAGGAAAGTTCTGAGAGAAGTCGGAAAAACAACCGCGAAACTTCCAAGACATAAATTGAGAAACTTCTGGCGAAAATGTAAAGAAACTTTCAGAAAAAAATCGAATTTCACATTCAAAGGAAGACAGAAAAGTTTTGGAAATCGGAAATAAATTCCAGAAGTAGCCATTTCCAGGGGAAGACAGAAAAAACTTGGAAAAACCTTCCAAAAGAAGCAAAAAAACCAACTGAACAAAATTCCAGAACTAGACGAATTAAATTTCTGGGAGAAGTTTAATTGAATTTCCTGGAGAAGACCAAACAAACTTCCTGGAGACGCTGGCAGAAACTTCCTAAGGTAGATTGGAAAAAAAATTCTGGAGAAAGGCGGAAGCCAGAGCGCTTACGGAACAGTCGCAAGAAACAAGGACATAATTCCGGAAGAAAGAGTTCTTGGAGGATGTTCTAATGATCCAGAAAATTTTCCAAATTGTCATAAAACGTCCCTGAAGACCCCGCAATGTCCCTGAAGTTTTTGGAACATTCCTGAAATGTACTTAGGAATATTCCATATTTCCTCGGGATGTTTTGGAGTACTCTGATCATCTTTGAAATACTTGGAACTTCCCTGATTATAATGAGACTACCGGAATATCTCTAATCAACTTTGAAGGTCTCTAGACTTTTTTGAAGATTACGAAATTTCTTAAGCGCTCTCACAATTTTCTTGAATTTATTGTAACATCAGCATTGAAGTTCTCTAATCTTTCCAATTTTTCTAATTTTTAAAAGTTATCAACACTGCCATTAATAAGCACAAAACTTCCCATAAAATGTTCTCACAATGTGCTACTGTTCGTGTAACTTCTCTTACGTTTCTTAAATATGCATGAGCCCCTCGTAACATTGCTGAAGTTTTCGGAAAGTACCTGAGTTTCTCAGAACTCCTTTAAAAATTTACGATTTCCTTGACATTTATTGATCTGATCTGATTGTCCTGATGTTCTCGGAGCTTTCTAAAGTTCTCTTAATTCTCCTGAAACTAATGGAACTGTTCTTAAAACCATTAAATTTTCAAGAAGTTCTTTGGACTTGTAAAGTATCCAAAATATGTATGATGTTTCCTTAAGTTCACTGGTGTTCGCTGGACCGGGTTAGAGAATTTTAACAGAAGTTGTTAAAACATTCTTTAATTTATCGAAACTTACTCACAAGTCTGGACTTTTCTGAAATTTCCGCAGTGGAACCGCAATCAAAATCTAAAAGCATCCCTTAAGTTCCGGGAAGAATCATTCGAGCGAAGGCTGGAGAAGCTTCCAAGGGAAGTTGAAATGGGTTTCCGAGAGGAATCGTAAATAGAAAATTCCATAGGGAAGTTGGAAGAAAATCCAGGAAGTTAAATAATGTTTAAAAAGTATTTCTCGATTCCACCGAAATTACCAGAAAGAGCCATCGACTGTTTATCGATTCACGGAATGCAAAAACGGTGAGGAAATTGAAATATTAATCGAAAGAGTATCCATACGACATTTTTTAAGATGATTTTTTTTTTAGAATTTTAAAGACTCAAAAAATTTGAGATATTCAAAAAGATACAAGTCTCACACAATAGTTTTTTCAGAAATTCTGGCAGGCAATAATCATTTTGATTATTTAAAAAAAATCGGTATAACACCTCAAAAATCGGTATTCTGAGGAACCTTATCTGTATATCGGTATCTAGTTCGGAAATCGGTATATCTGGCAACGCTGCACTACAGTCCATTGTGAGAACTTCCATTACATTTGTTGCAAGAAAGAATGCAGGAGATGTAAGAAATTCACACACCCAACCGGAGAATGCAAGATTCTATTACAGATTTGCATAAAAAGCATGCAGAGTTTGTAATGTTTCACCGCATGAGCAGATTCTGTAAAAGAGATGAACTAGCTTTCGGCTAAAAATCTCAATAATAAAGATAAAAAAAAAACAGATTCTGTAATGTGGTCGTTGGAAGGTATTTTAAAATAATTTTGTAATGTTAATGTTAGCAAAATGTTCAAACAAGCTTTGTTTCCTCAAATGCACTGAGGCTATAAAATCATCTCATGAAGGTTGTCCATTGTAAGAACGCAGAGGTTGTAAGAAATCCACCCTTACATTCGATGTTCATGCCATTTGTTTCGCGGGTACAAAACGATTTTCCAACTGTCCACGAAAAGAACAACGTCCCCTTATTCCAGATCACTGCGCACGCCCATGAGCCACGGCATCGGGATCATCGACAGGAGAGCACCGTACTACCACGTGCATGTGTGTATGGGTGGACCACCTCCTGAACTCATTGTCATCCTAGAAATGCTAGGGCATGAAAATACCGAAAAAAAACACCCCGCTAGAGATGAAACTAGGAAGAGATCCACACACTTCCCTGATGCGGTGTGGAACAAATCCGGGCTAAAAATTATGTAATTTTGAAGTCAGGTCCATGGGCGGATCATGGGGCTGCTTACCTCGATGTAGATGGTGCTGTTCGGGTTAAAGGTGTCATTTACCCGGTGCAGGGTGATGTTGATGTGCGGCACCGAGTGCAGCAACTCGACCATAAAGGATGGCGCTGCTGGTGGATCCATATCGGTGACAAATTTGGCTCACTCGAGAAAAACGTGACAGATTTTTGACAGAACAATTGCTATTATCTTCTCACTTCCGGTTGCGGCGGATGCTGCGGCTCTGAATCGACGGTACCTACACGCACACTCACTCCCAGGGTCACAGGCTCCGATCACAACATGGATTCCAATTTGCTGTGGATTTTCCGACCGACTACGGAGACAGATTTTCCTCCACGCACACACAACTCCGGGAAGCTTTCGGAACTCAGCTTGCCACTTTTCGAATTGATTTTCCGCTCTAGACACTTGAAATTTCACACCTTATTCTTTTTCATCCGCAAGGTATATTTCAACCCCTTGTATCTGCTTCAATGACTTCGCACTGCTGCTCCTTTGGGACACGACAATCTTCTCGCACGCACTTCTCTTCCGACTCGGAGACGATGCACGATGCCCGCCGCGGGGAGGTTAAGGACCAGCGAGGGCACCCACCTACTTCTTCTTCTTCTTCTTCTTCTTACACTTCTTCCACTCGAGTGTTGTACGTGCCAGCGAGTCGCGGCTCTTTAATCAATACACACCGCACACACCCCTCGACGACCGAGCCCAAGCAGGCGGGGGAACAAGAACTTCACTTCAACTTCCAAGACGACCCTCGGGAGTAGCACTGCACTACTAACTAGAGTAAGCCATGAATAGTGGTTGTCGTCGTCGTCGCCTTCTTTGCTTTTACCGAGGAAAAATCAAAACACACACACCCAGCTAGTAGTAATAGTAGCAGCAGTAGCAGCAGCAGCAGCAGCCGAGGGGCCTCAATTTTCCCGAGCCTCCTTATTTTTCCACACGGAGATTTGCACTACAGGCAAAAATTTTCACCACTTTCCGGAGCCACTCTCTTCTTCCGGGCTTCGTTTGGGCAGAGCCATTTTTCGCCACCGCACACCCCAAGATCCCAAAACAACTATTCCACGCGAAAAAGCCTAATCGTACCCCTTTCAGAAGAACCGATTTCTTCGTATCCGACACAACTTCACTCCAGCCACGGGGAGCCCACCTTATTTTGGCTTTCTTACTCGCTTGCTTGCTGCTGTATTCTTGGGTTTTTGTGGAGGTATGGCGCAGTCACCACGACGGTCAGACTCAACTCCGTAACAAACACACACGTTTCACTCCGTCGAGTTCAACTTCGAATCTGAGCACGGAGAACGGTAGGTTCCATTCGCGATGCTGCCTTGCCTTTGCCTCCCCCTGAGGGAGGAACGGTTGTGTGTATGTATGGTGATGGTGAGTTGAAGTGGCGAGCAATGATGGTACTCTCTCTCTCTCTCTCTCTCTTTGCATTTTATTCATGCTTCATGCTGCGTATGGTTCAGAAGAGCGAGAGAATCAATTATGGTTCTGATGTCGGAGAGTCTTCCGGGTTTCACGGGTTTGGCGCGGGAGGAGGAACAAAGGGTTGCCAGACTCTATTGGAAATCTACCGGATGGCAGTTTTTGACGTAGGACTACGTCTTTCATTTCTATTCTGGGGATACACTTTGTGAAAGCCGAAAATGGAACATGAAACAAAATTATGAAAGATTTTGAACATCAATAACTCAGCTGTTCCTGGACCAATTTAAATAATTTTAACACTAATCGATCAGAGATCTTTCTACGCATCTATAGCATTGCTTCCTACTGATGATTTTTATCGTGAAGCTACTGAAAAAGTGGTAATTTCAAGTAATATCCAATTTACAAATAAAAAGTGATAATTTTATCACTGTTTTCATGAAATAAACGTTATTCCCAAACCCAGTCCTCATAATCAAGTACTACTTGATTGCACATCATTCTGCTTCAATCTGAAAAGATATAAAAGAGCGCTGCTGTATGGCATTAGCTCATTTTCACTTCGGACGGCGTGGTGAACAGCAATAGCAGCAGTAGGAAGGTGTCCACTCCTTCACACCCAACAAGCAACAAACAAATGATTTTGATCGATTCTCTTCATCAACTTTCTCTTTGAATCGCCACGGCCGGATATTTTTGATGGAAGAAGCAACAATCTAGCTTCTAATTCGAAGAAGACGGCAGGAAACACTTTTGAAGCTAAGTTATTTACGAAAGAGAGAGAGAGAGTCGATGAAGAGAATCGATCAATGTAGATAGAACTTATTGAAAAGTGACGCGAGATTTGTTTTCCGAATTTATCTGTGCCTGTGTGTCCATATTCAGAACCACTGGCCCCCAACGACCACAGAAAATGCTCTCCAGAGTTGTAATCTTGTAACCAAACTTGGAAGCAGGGGTGTAAGTGATTTTGATTGATTCTCTTCATCGTTCGAGGGCTGCGTAGCAAAATCGAGGACTTCTTGACTGCCGTCTCTGCTTCTCCATACGACGTTGTAGTTCTGACCGAAACTTGGCTCGACGATGTTATTCCGTCCCGGATGCTGTTTGGTGACAACTTCGTGGTATACCGAGGTGACCGCACTGCACTTACTAGCAACAAGAAACAGTCCGGTGGAGCCCTCATCGCGGTTAGAAAAAACATCCCGTCGTCGATTTTCCCGGTAAATGAGCATCAAATGGAGCATGCCTGGGTTAGTGTTTGTGCAGAAAATTGCAAGATAATTGTTGGTGCCGTATACATACCCCCGGACAAATCTAGCGATGTGCAAGTTGTTAAGCGTCACACTGCCTGTTTGGACTATGTTACATCTACACTGAACACGGATGATATAATCTTTGTTTTCGGTGACTATAACTTGCCAGGACTAAAGTGGAGCAATTTGGCAGAGGCGTTTCTCGCGGTTGACGTTAACAAATCGTGCATCACTCGATCAGGTGCAGCGTTGCTCGACGGTATAAACTCCAGTAATATGCGGCAAATAAATGGCTTTGCTAATCGCCACGGCAACATATTGGACCTATCGTTTGTCAGTGAAACACTTGACGGTGCCTTTTCCATTGACAGTGTAGACGACCTGCTCGTTGCTATCGATGTTTGCCATCCCCCGTTCGTAGTCACCTTGAATGACAGCTTTTCCATGCGTTTCGAAAATGACGACTTCGACTACCAGGCCTACAACTTTGCTAAAGCTGACTTCCTACGATTGTCGACGTTATTGAGTGAGGTTGATTGGTCGCCTGTCAGGAGCTGTTTGGATATCGACACAGCCGTTCACTTTTTTGCCGTTTCTGTCCGCCAAGCAATAGATCAATGTGTACCGCTACATCGCCCACCAATGAAGCCCCCGTGGTCAAACAAGGAACTGAAAAGAAGGAAAAAGCATTGCAAACTCACACACAGGACTTACCGCAGATCTCGTTCTCTATCAGACAAACTAGTCTTCCATACAGCTAGTCGGCGATACAGGAGTTTGAATGGCAAACTCTACCGCAAATACGCCAGTGGAATCGAAAGGAACCTCAAGCGAAATCCTAAATGTTTCTGGAATTTTGTTAATTCAAAGCGAAAGGAAACTGGTCTTCCAACTTCTATGTCCTTAGATCAGAAAGTGGCACACACTAGCTCGGAAAAGTGTGGACTTTTTGCTGAGTTTTTCCGTTCCGTTTTTGAAGGCTCGCCTGTGAATGAGGATGCTGCTGATCTCCTTGACTTCACTCCAACTGACGTGATTGAGCTGGATACCTTTGAGATTTCAGCAGAAGATTTCATCAAGGCTGTCAAAAAACTGAAGTCGTCGAACAATCCTGGCCCTGATGGAATTCCTGCATGTGTCATAAAAAAAATGCTCCGTTCAACTACTGGAACCACTGCTGTACATCTTCAACCTGTCCATGAGCGTGGCCAAGTTTCCAACAGACTGGAAGTCGTCCTTTATGTTTCCTGTTCATAAGAAGGGTAGCAAAACTGATGTCAGCTGTTACCGTGGAATAACGTCCCTCTGTGCTTGCTCAAAATTGCTCGAAATTATCGTCTCCAACTATATGTTCAACAGAACAAAAAGTCACATATCTACGAATCAGCATGGGTTTTTCCATGGAAGAAGTGTAACCACAAACGTCACTGAGTTCACTTCGATCTGTCTTCGAAATATTGGGCAGGGAAAGCAAGCAGATACAATATACACTGACATGAAAGCTGCATTTGACCGGGTCAACCACTCCATTCTTCTGGCTAAACTACGCAAGATGGGCTCATCTGCCAATTTCGTTCAATGGCTCGAATCATATCTCTGCAACAGGACTCTTGCAGTAAAGATTGGATCTTCAACTTCTGACTGGTTCTGCAATACCTCCGGTGTACCTCAAGGAAGTAACTTGGGACCGTTGCTATTTTCGCTGTACATCAATGACGCAACTGTGCTTCTGGAAAATGGATGTTACTTTACTTATGCTGATGATACAAAAATCTATGTGATCGTTGAAAACGAAGACGACTGTCTGCGACTCCAGGAGGCACTGGACAAGTTTGCATTGTGGTATCGTGCCAACAATATGACCCTCAGCGTACCTAAATACCACGTCATTAGCTTCCACCGCAAGAAAAATTTCCTTCAATATGAATATGTCATCGACGGAACCACCCGTGCAGACAGTGCGTGATCTTGGAATTACATTGGACTCATGTCTCACGTTCAGGAACCACCACGAAGATGTTATTGCGAAGGCACGACGGCAGCTTGGTTTCATTGGAAAGGTGACAAAGGAGTTTCAAGATCCTTACACATTGAAATCGCTGTATGTTAGTCTTGTTCGTCCAATTCTCGAGACAGGCTGTATTATATGGGATCCGTTTCATATCACCGTGATCGATCGCATAGAGGCCGTTCAGCGCAAATTTGTGCGATACGCTCTTCGCAACTTACCGTGGAATGACCCGGTTAATCTGCCACCCTACGAGAATAGATGCCAACTACTGGGATTGGAAACGCTGGAACAAAGGAGGAAGAACGCGAAAGCTGTAATTGTAGCGAAACTACTGAACGCCGAACTTGATGCACCGAATCTTCTTGCTCTCATCGACATTAACATTCCCGGCTGTGCACTCAGGAATACCGAATTTCTCCGCTTACCACGCTGGCGACAGGACTACGACGGTAACGAGCCAGTACGTGCAGTCATGCGCAATTTCAACGATGTTTATAATTTGTTCGACTTCAATGAAAACTCTGTTCAATTTTGCTCAAGACTAAGAAGAATGAATTGATGTTGATGCTAAGAATTATTCATTAAGACAACAAATTGTCGGATGAAGATATCAAAGTAATAATAATAATAATAATAATAATAACTTACTACAAATTTGGTACGCCTACAATTAAAAAACGGAAAGAGTTAAGATAAACACTAGCGGTCCTACGTCAAGCTTCCGTTCGTGCTCCTAGGCACAGATCCTTTTACTTTTATTCAATTATTCTGTATCGGTAATTCTTTGCAACTCGAAATAATCAAATTATAAATTATAAAGATTTCTACTCATTGGAATAAAATGTTTATTAATCTCTCAGTACTCGCGCAGTTGTAAAAAGTTCATGGAAAATAATAAAACCTACTGATTTGAAACTAAACATGTTTCATGAAATTTAATATCCGCGTTAAAGACCAATAATTGAAGAATATTTTCAGGTTTCAAGAAGTACCCTCATGGTGTAAATAATATACTGTTGTATTTTTTACAGCACGCGAGTTCTCGTGTTATAAAAATTGGCGCGAGTAGGGGACGACGGTGTCAGACGGCTACCTCTTAAGATTATTTAACGATTATTTAAAGACTGGATGCCTTCCTTCAAATAACAACTGAAGTGCGGTAAAAAATCGGTAGAACTGTTTCAAACACATCGTTGGTACTTGAGTGGTCAGCTTTCATCTCTTTTTGCCAGTGGTGGCGGGGGGGGGGGGGGGGGGAGGGGTACACCCCTCACCATCTCTCTCCAAATGGGGAGTTTGGTAAAGAGAGATGAAAAAACCGATTTGTACCTTCCTTAAAAGTTGTCCTAGCTCGCTATTCTACTATCTATATGCAATTTTCACACTGCCGTACTCTAACGGAACTATCAACTCTACACTTACATCTACTCCATCTATCGTATAAAAATTACCACTACAGTCTGTTATTTGAAATTAGCATCTTCAACTACTATTTAAAGGTTCAACTCTTGAAAAAAAAAAATTAAGCAGAGTTCTTTACAATAAATATAATATATTTGATAGAAT